GGGGGGGGCTTTCTTCCAATCTTTTCTCATCATTTCATGATGAAAATGCTATGCTGTTTATCAATCCCCGCAAACGTAGCACCTTGCACATCTGTTTCTATTCTGTGGTTCTGTTGTCTTTTCACGCCTTTTTTAAGCAATATGTTGCTTTCTGCATAGCATAGCCAAAGCACAAGAAGTTAAATGTAATTTCTTACAAAGAAACGGAAACGAAACATCAAAATTATATTTCATACAGTTTATTTACAACATCCTCATCACAACCCTTCTTCTTGATTCATCAACAACGTCGTAAAAACTCATCACCAGTTCTGAAGACTTATTGGCAAGGCAACCCGGGAACTTGGAAGACTAATTGTTCCCAACGAATATGACGTCACACACTCTGATGAGCCAGATCCCTCGGCGATACAACAAGGCGACAGCTTCTATTCCTGAATATTTGGATTCACGACTGCTGTCTCTGAGAAGCTGGGTAATATCAAGATATATTTCTGTACTCTTTCTATTGACGTGAAGTGGTTATGGCGTTTAAGTTTATAGATTCTTTTTTCCTGTCGTGTTAAGATTTTTAAAAATCAATCGTTTAACAGCAACCAACAGATCTCCGGTAACGTGACAATTATTTTTTCTCGGTTATAGTACCAGTAGGTAGAATCAATAAATAAAAACCCCGCCTTTAGGGTAAAGCTGCAATCTTTGTGTGTCCTTACCCCCCCCCCCAAGAATGTAATAATATGTACAAATATACAAAGTGACACATTTTTCAGCCTTATTTTTATTTGAAGGGATAACCAACTTTCTCTTTAAAAGTCTGACGTATACCTATGAAGAGTGCACAGAATTTAAGGCTTCTCAAATGTAAACTTTTTAAAAAATGAAGTCTCGGAAGTGAACACATACAAATAGTTTATCTCCTAGCTTTCCGAAGTTGTACGTTTTGTGTTCAACACCAAAAAAAGTTACCACTGCCGACTGTCAAGGAGATCGGTCAGCAGAAAACTTCCCCGAGTTCAAACCAAAGCAATATCACATTGTTCAAGAGATTTGTTCAGATTCATCAGTAGGCAGGAGCCATTTTCATGGCGTATTGTTTCCGCACATGATGGGCATCTGCTTCCGGTCTGTTGATGGCTTCCCAGGCAGGGTTTCCCAGAAACAGTCTCTGCAGCTTGATGTGATCCTGGAAGAGGCGGGACGGCGAAAATAGATGAAAAACGTATATCGTTATGATTGATTTCGTGTACGAAGAAGTGGAACGATTGATTGAAATATGATTGAAATATTAAATATATTTTAATTTTTTTATATACAGGAAATAAGCGAGGTCTGTGCCTTATCACGAAAAGGTTGAGAGACAGAGAGAAAAAATGTGGAGAAATAAAGAAATAAAGAAGGAGAGATAGAGAAAGAAAGAAAGAATGAGAAAGATATGGACAGAGGAGGGAGGGAGGGGAAGAAAGAGAGAGTGTAATCCTACTTTATTTTGACCTTAATAGTGTTTCCACAATAAACTGGTCAGCAAACTAGCTATTAGATCTGGACATTAACAAAACTGTTACTGAACAGAAAATTAAAGACGACGACTCAGAGAAATCGAGTCAGAAGTTTGTTCTGATTCTAGCAGCAGTGCAATTTCTGTTTCAAATTTAGATGCGACATTATAACATGACACGATGTGTGCAGTTTCAAGCCCACACATCCCACTAACCCCCAAATCTTTTTTCTTTTTTTTTTAACAATCTCTCATCAGCACTTGATCTCGGCTGTGTTAATCGCTAATTTTATTATATTTTTAAGGGGGGTTGTTTTGTTGTTGCTGCTGCTGCTGTTGTTGTTGTTGTTGTTGTTGTTGTTGTTGTTGTTGTTGTTGTTGTTGTTGTTGTTGTTTTGTTTGGTATTTTAAATCTTAAAATCCTTACTGAGTTTAGTATCTAGCAGCTACCAGCAGAAAAAGTATTCCTTACATTAATTGTGTCCAGTGTGAATCTGTGATAGATTCCGGCGGGCAAAATGATCAAGTCGTTCTGTTGGATCCAGATTCTGATCCACTTCTCATCCCGGTCCCTCACATCGAAGTAGCCGCTGCCAGCCTCCACGTAGCGGATCTCTGGGTCGGTGTGGATGTGCTCAACGAAGAATCTCTTCATCTAGAGCAGACATAAGAGAATTGATTAAAACTTTTGTAAATGGCTTGTAGCAGTGGCGGAAAATGTACAAGGAATTACTGAAAAGTAAAAGTAAACAGCTCAACGATTCAATTCATAAATTTACTTTAGACTCATCGGAGATGGACGTTATGTTATCAGAGTCTGCACCTAAAGTGTTGGAAGGGGTGTTAAACGTTGTTGTTGTTGTTGTTGTTGTTGTTGTTGTTGTTGTTATCGATCCAGAAGGGGGTGTTAAACAAACACTATAACAATGAAGTACCAAGCCTAAGTTTAGATAGAATTTTTTTTTTTTGAAAAAAAAACAAACAGACAGAAATACAACCACCGCAGCACAACAATTCAGTTTACTGAACTTTTAAAAAATGATACAACTTGAGAATCCAATTTAGTTATTAGTAAATAACCTAGTAATATCAATTAAAGAATAAGCGTGGGCAATTTACTCCCACAATGTCTACTGCCCAAACAAAGCTGTATCAAGCATACTGCTTTATTAAGATCAACTGTCAAGACGCAAAAGATTGTCAGTAATTTAAAAAACAGCCCTAGACTTACCCGTTCTTCGAAGTTGTCCAGTTTGACTCTTGATAGTTCCACGACATCCTCGGAGGTGACGCCCCTTTCTACCTTCAGATTTGCATACTCTTGGTTTGTCTGCCACGAGTTGGCGTCGATCTGCACGACAAGGATTTGATTGTATATGTTGGAAACTGTCATCGACATAGTTGATACAGATACAATCAAACTTGCTCTAAGGACCACCAGTGCAAGATAATCACTTGTACAGTTGATTACTTCCCACTTCCCTCCTTGCGGTTAAGTGTTCGTGTGTGTGTGTGTGTGTGGTGTGTGTGTGTGTGTGTGTGTATGTGTGTGTGTATGCTTGTGTGTGTGTGTGTGTGTGTGTGCGTAGGCATATGTGTGTGTGTGTTTTCACAAAGTTCAGCGTGTGCCGTTTTGAGTTACCCGTTGAACATGCAGATTAAAAAACATGGAAATCTTAAGATCAGTGGTCACTGGCATATGCCTTTGAGTAAAACACAATAGCCTCAGCTCAAAAACCAGGGTACTGCACAGTGGGGACCAGAAATGGCATGTTTGTAGTATAATAATATAGACTCCGTTACAGTACGTTTGTATCTATATAATATATATCATGAGTGTATGTATTCCCGTGCCGTATTCATATATGTGTGTTATATATTAAGTCATTGTTAACCAATATTAATTTCCCCCACGGAAGTCAATAAAGAGGAATTTTAATAAATTTTAGCCTATATGTACAATAAACATTGTCAGTCGTCAGGTTGGAGACAAGACGAGACACAACTAACTCATTCACTTAATTAATATTTTCATAACTGCTTAAGGGTGAGTTCCCGACTTACAGAAATGCATTCCATTCCCGTCTTTTCGTAGAGCTCTTCAAGGGTGACATGCCTGGGAGGGTTTGTCTTGTTGGGCTGCCTGAAGTCAGTCTCGTTGGTGATCTCCATGTACCAAGCTTGAACCATTTTGTTTGTTAATTGTTTACCAGTCGGTATCTACTTTGAATATAACTGACGCTGGATCACCTGGGAATCTGAGAGGACAAAAATGTTTTAAAAGGGTAGGAAAACACAAGTCTATCTTTCTGTTAGCTGCAAATTGTCGAAATTTATGTTGATTAGTTAACGAAAAAAGTTGGAAAACCGATTTTTTTTTTAACTTGCTGATTGTAAAACGGTTCTCAAAATTCAATCTTGCTTTAGATTGGAAAAATTGATTTATTGCTTTCTGGTCAATATAAAACGTCAGTTTCGAAAGTTTTGGGTCTCTTGTTTGTTTGTTTGCTTGCTTGCTTGTTTGTTTGTTTGTTTGTTGTTTTTTGTGGGATTTTCATTTTTGACTTTTAATGAGAACTGAAAACAAATTTCTTAACTTTAATTTGTTTTTGTTTGGCTTTAAAGCACATTTGGAAATACTTATAATGTAGCAAGAAGAAAAAATACCCCGTAAGTGAATTACTAGGCACAATTTCAGTGTAATATATTTATTACACTACTATCTTTATCGACAGAAACGTCTCTTTCCCCAAGACGTAATCTACAACAAAAAAGTATTAATGATAATAACAATTACTAAGAAAAATAATCGTAATTATACTTATAATTATATTTATAACTATAATTAGAATTCTTATTACAATAATTATTATATTAATTATAGTACTTATTATAATAAATGTTAAACACTTGGCAAAGTTTCAATCTTAGCATAAGTATGGCTG